GACACACAATCCCACAGATTATAAAACTTACATATTTAGTTTAGTTTCATAGTCTATTTCTGTACATTTGCCTGTTTTTGTTCATACAATTTTGTTTACAGTAAATTTATTCTACAAACATTTAAGAACATTTATTAATAATTTTGACTCTTAAAATTGATTACTATTTATTATAAAAATGTGAATATACAGTTTTATTTTAAATTGGTCACTGTATGAATACTGTCCACACAGACTGTATATTAATTAAAATACATTATTTTCAATATACAAAAATAATAATTATTATTATCTTTTTCTATCCGCTATAATAGCAGTAAACAAACGAAGTCATAGTGATGAATATAGAATAGTAAAATATATAAAACTTCGTAATAATGAAGAATCATTTAAAATTTAAATCGTAACCATGTTAGAATACTGGATCTTTAGTTTACAGACTATTCGCACGCGGCGCTAAACTTGTAACGTCTACTATTAGAGGAGATTGTACATAGTGTCTTTTTACAAATCTCTTGCTCCATCTCCATCTGACTCCCTCTTTTTCTATCTCCCCCTTCCAATATCCTACAGTTCTACTCTTCCTCTCAACTTCTCGAAGATTTCCGCGTATGTATTGAGTTAAGCTTAAGATCAGTGCGTACCATCTTAAATGTTCTCCATTTGCACAACAATCACAGTGTTTGGAAAACTAGTCATTACGTAGACCACGTTCACGGTCCCTCGTGAACCACCCTATATAGAAAGTTTCAACAATAATTTTTACAGACTTTTTTTGTCTCTCTGTCTGCTTTCTGTTTGTCTCGGTTCCTCTTTCTCTTTGGGTGCGTGAGTGCGAAAATATCAGACAGTGCAAAGGAGTTCCACATCGATGTATCGATACTAAGGACTCCCGGGGGCGAGGTTTTGAGACAATAGTTCCTGAGTGAGGTTACATGGACTCGTTGAAATGTCGTGGTTCCTTAAACGGCGGACTTACGATTAGCTCGGGTGAGTTTAATTTTCATTAAATTACAGTGCGGTAGATTTTGTGCAACGGGAAAATGCGCGGTTTCCATTGGTTCAATGGAGTAGATTTACCCGATCGTGGCTGGCCCGATTATTTTAGACGATGACGTGCTGCTTATGTACACTCAACACCTTGTATCCTTACTCTACCCGTGCCGCATTCCTTTGGCGATTTCAACTGTGCGATATTTCAGTTAAACGGGATATTACCACTCGCTGCTCTTTTCTATTCTTCGATGTGTGGACGAAAAGTCGAACAAATGATAACTGCTCGATATCACATCATAAATGTAACAGCAAAAGAATTACGAACAGAGATATAAACATTTTAAGATACGTGTAATTTCAAATAATTTGTGTGTGCTGGTATTATTTAAAGAATTTATACTAATGCAAAACAATTAAACATATTATCATTAAATGTTTCATTATAATTATTTTTATATTATTTGTGATATAAATGCACTGAAACATTCAGCATCACATTCACCATACCCTTAGCTACATATCAATATAAAGTATCATGTTGAGTAACATCTTTGACAAGTATATTTTTTCTGTTTATTTTGACATTGTTTACGTTTGGTAACCTACAAATTCATTCATTAACTTTTTACTTCGTTTTCTAAATTATAATGACGTGTA